TTCATGCTCTTCAAACGAAAATTCAATCAAATTGGAAAGTTTCCAGGCTTCATGAAAAAATGTTATGTTCATCTTTATCTCCTCTTAGAACTTAACACTAAGATTATCTCTGTGGACAAGATTAGCTCTAGTCTAGGGTTATATCACTGCTCAGCAGCTAAGTAGTCCTGAAGAAGTGACCGTGCCTTGGGTCTCTAGAAACAGTGGAGTGCCAGATAATGAGAGGTTCAGTCATCTGGTCAGATTAAGGTTAGGTGCTTATGGATCTACCATGAGTCTGGCTTGGTGTTAGCGGGTACCATGTCACTACTGCCCTGGACTAGTAAGATTGAATACTCATATCTGCCCTTCAATCGAGAAACTTAGTATCTCGAGTTGCTAGGTCTTTGCTTTACGTACTGTAGAGAGCCCGCGGAGATCTTTTGATTTGTATTTGGAAATTAAAATCTGACCATTAACTCCAGAGAAATTAAGACATATTTTTACAGGATTTTATACAACTTGACCTGATTGTGTAGGACATATCTTGAACCTCAGTGTTGAACCAGTTAACCTCAACTAATTCATCTCAAATTTTACATACATGTTTGGATCGTGAGACAGTACAACATTAATAAAAAGCAGCCATTTTGAATCTAATATGGCGGCTGCTACAAAATAACGATTTATAGACTTCATGGTAATAATATGGATGTCAAATAAGAGGGCTTGATTGGAGAAACACAATAATCAAAGTTACGTCATTATAAATCTAATACGTCGGCGGCCGCAGAATGACATAATTTTTCTATGGTATGGCTATCAAATGAAGGGGCTTGATGAGAAAAATACAATAAGCAAAGTGATAATAATAATAATAATAATAATGTTTATTGTTACAAAATACAAGTAAATATCAAATATTGTGCACAATAAACATAAAGCACCCAAAAAAAGTTTGCACTTGTGTTTGGGTTTGTACAAAATAAAAACTAATAGGACAGTCAGTGTATGAAAAAAAAAAGAAAAAACCGGTTAATACTGTATAATTTGGTGAATTATTATGGTAATGTCAGGAAAAATATCCAGACAATTAGAACTTAAGTATGGATGTTAGTGTAAGTAAAATATTATTGATTTTGATAATGATTTTTCAGATCTACAATTTCGTGGATGGAGTACCTTGGTTCTTGTAAAATCCATTTTTTTAGTTGTTTTTTAAATGATTTATTTGATTTAATTACTTTTAATGACTCTGGTATGAAGTTATAGAATTTTGGTCCCAAGAAAAACAGAGATCGTTGTGTAATGGTTTTTGATGTTTGTGGAATACACATTGAATTTTGATTGAATCTTGTTGGGTAGTTATGAATGGTACGATTAAAGTATTTTGAATATTTGAAATAATGTATTAGACCACAATAAAAATAAATTTGTCTGCAATCTAATAGCTGAGCCTCCATATATAGAAAATCACTTGAATAAGTAATCTCCCTATGGAGGATCAATTTTAGAATTAATTTTTGGATTACCTCAACCTTTTTGCAATTATTATTCATAACTCCCCCCCAAGCCAAAATTCCGTAAAGTAATAGAGGATAAACAAGAGCATAATATAGATTATATAGATATTTCTTATCTAGAATATCTCTGAAGTACCTGAATTTTGGAATAATACATCTCAGTCTCTTCACAAGGTACTCTGTATGGGTATCCCATTTTAAGTGTTTGTCCAAAATCACGCCTAAGTATTTTACTCTATCGGCTGACTGAATCTCTTTGAGACCACTGCTTGTATGAATTTCAAGTTATTTAAATTGTGGTGAGAGCTTGTCGTTACAAGAAAATGCTATATAGTGTGTTTTGTTGTAATTAATTGTCAAAGTTCTTTCCGAAAAGAAATTTATAAATGTTTTGAAATCATGTTCGATTAATAATACGGGGTTCACTGAATGTGTTATTAATTTTGACGCACTGTGTTCGATTTGACAAATAATTTTCTATGAGTTTGTATGTTATTCCCCGGAAACCTAAGTTTTCTAAAGTTGTTAAAAGCGATTCATGAGTAATAGAGTCGAATGCCTTTGCCAAGTCAACAAAAACACAAGCAGTTCGTTTGCCAATATCGAGATTCGTGTATATTTTATTTGTTAATTTTACAATAGCATCTTGAGCAGATTTGCCTTCTTGAAAACCATATTGCTCTTCCGCTATTAAGTTATATTTTTTTGCAAATTCGGTGAATCGTTTTTTTAACACTTTTTCAAATATTTTAGAAAAATTTGTTGAGATGGAAATTGGTCGATAGTTGATGGGTTTTTCTCTTTCTCCAGATTTAAATAATGGTTTTACCATAGCGTGTTTTAAACATGAAGGGAATATTCCTTTATTCATACAAGAATTTATCAAATATGATAGTATGCCGCAGATGTTGCAATTTATTCTCTTGAGAGTATACGCTGTTATATTATCTAGACCTGGAGATTTTCTTAATTTCAATTCATTGATTATTGTCTTTATTTCATGCGTATCGGTCGGTTCCAGATATAATGAGTTATATAATCTGGTCTTACTATAATTTAATTTCTCTGCGTTTTTTATGCTTTCTGACAACCTTTTCCCGATTTTTGAAAAATATTCACAAAATTCATTTGCTATATCTACATCATTACTCACTAGTTCACCATTTTCTTTTTTAATTGTACTAATTTTGTTGTGTTGTTTTTGCCTTGTATTTTATTGATAAATTGCCACATTTTGGACGAACAATTTTGTAGATTATCAAACTCACTGTCTTTTCAATTTTGGTTGATGTACTTTCAAGATCGATTTTGAGCAAAGTAGGAAAATGATCAGAAATTTTGTATTTTAGAATTGCTGAATATATTTTGTCAAGTTCTAAACGTGAATTTATAAACATATGATCTATACAACTCCCACTGTTTCCTTCTACTCTTGTCATTTCGTTAATGGCTGACAGGTAACCATGTTCAGCCATTATATTTAAATAATCTTGAATATTTTGATTGTTCTGATCTAATATGTTAATGTTAAGGTCTCCAATGAATAAGTTGATGTCAAATTTTCTACTGCTTTCTAGATAATCATGTAATTGACCGTTAAATGTTGTTACAGATATACAGGGTGATTTGTATACACCAATGATCTGTATCCATTTATTATTTTGAAGAATAACTCGTAAAAGTTTTATTTGAGTTATATTAATAATTTCATACCCACTGTTCAAATTTTGTCTTACGTAAATCAGAACCCCGTCATTTTTATTAAAACTACCATCGTTATAATATAAATCATAATTGGGAATTTCGATCAAACTTGTATCATATACTTTAAATGTTTCAGTTAGCACTATAACATCAAATTTAAAATCTAGTATATCCAACAAGGCATGGAGTTCATTCATATTTCCATGAATGCTCCTTATGTTCGTGTGAAAGATGTTCAATCCTGAATCAATATAATTAGAAAAACGTAACTTTGTTGTAGGTAAATCGTCTAAAATATTTGTTTTAATTATTTCAGGTCCAAATTCTGTAATGTATCTACTCATAAATATTCTAAGTCCTTAGCAATTTAGAATAAAATTCTTGATATATGTCTTTGTTGGAAAAATTTAAATACAGCACAACATTTATCTGTAGGGGAGTGATGTGTATTATAGTTTTTATTATATTTTTTGTTTGAATACACACAGTTGCAACAAATGGGATTAGTCGATTTGTTGCATGAAGTATCATCATGTTCTTCTCCACATTTGAAGCAAACTTTATGACTATTACATTTCTTACCAGAGTGATTAAACTTGAAGCAATTTGTACATTGAGTTACCTCACTATTAGGATATACTGATAAATTTTGAAAACCAATTAAAATTTTTCCACCATTATTATCAAATATTTGTCTGAATAGTTTACCTGACACCTCTGCGTAAACTATATTCATCTTTTTTTGAGGAAGGAATCTAACATAGGTGATTTTTAAATTTTATTTTGTTATAAAGTGGTTTTGTCGCATAATATCTTCTTCTATTTCACGTTCTTGAAGTTTTTCTTCAGAGTGGTAGCCAACAATCTTTATTTTAGGATTAAACATTTTCGGTTCGGATATTGTATATGTTGATGGCAGATTCTTCCCAATTTCTTCTTTTAGCTTCTTATGGTAGCGGTCTTCTACACATAATTCAATACCACCATTTGTAGAGTTCTTAACAGTTTCAATTTTGACGTTTATTTTTGATAAATTCAAATTTCTGCTCAGCTCGTTCTTAGCTCTGTAGTTAGACTGTTGTTGTTCAGGGGTAATGATAAGACTTTTAAGTGTCCTTTCTTTACTCTTTGATGGTGAATTTATAACTGCTTGGGCATATGTGGAATTTTTTGTTGTTGTTTCCTCTAACTTCTCAATTCTCCTAAGGAGTGTCTCAAGTGGTGTTACTATACAGTCTCTATCGACTATGTTTGAAGAAATAAGATCATACTGTTCTTGAAATCGTCTGTTTTCGTTTGATAGGTGGTATATTAATCTTTCTTTTTCCAAAAGTAATGCTTGACAATTTTCTAAATCTTTCGTTTTTTCTAATAACTCCTGTTGTAATAATTTATTCTGTTTTTTCAAGTACTCACATGTTTCTTGCGTTGACATAATAGAATCACAGCTAATGTTTACAGTCTCATCTTCATCCTTTTTCTTTCTCCGAGTCATTGCACACTCAGTATTTAGAATTTTGTATCACTGATGTGGCTTGTCAAAATTGTGTCAAAGTTGTATATTAATACAAATGGCCGAAAGTGGTTTACCTCTTGAAAATTGTCTGATCCCCAATTGTGGATATCCAAATGTAGTCTAGGAACAAATTCAAGAGCAGCGACAAATTATTTGATTCGTAGTTTCGGCAATATGGTGATGGAACTGTGGAAAAGGTAGATAATAAGTGTATGTAGGTATCTAGTTATATATTAAGTATATATATATAGTCCAATTCACAGTACCCTCTGTGTTATAGGTACCTAATAAAAGGTCTTGATAAATGAAGCACGGTAAATAAAGCGTCATAGTTCTAAATCCAATATAATAATGTGATAATGCAATGTCAGCATCTAGCTGGTCTAATGGCGTGGCCGGGAGGTCGCAGTGGGAACCTTGTAATAAATCAACGGAAACCCAGCGAGTTTGATTCTTCTCGACAAGTACTCTGGCCCTAGGATCTGATCATAAAGTTAGTCCACTCTTAGGTAAAATTAATATGCTCCGTTGCCTTAAGCTTTGCTCAAGAATTTCCCGTGGAAAAAAGTTTTAGGAATAGTGATGCAAACAATTCTGCTCAATATAGTTTTAACTAGGCTTCTGAACAACAACGTTTTAACCAAGAAGACATTACTTTTCTGACTCCAGATTGCACATTGAACCTAGTTACTGTGCTATTGTATAGAATATTGATTCAGTAGCTGTCATAGTTGAATGTTTTTCGTTTGCACTCCATGGCAGTAGCATACACTTAGGAACTAGGTACTTGTAGGCTACTTTTTACAGAGAAATAATTAAAAAGGTCTTCAATACAATGGTAGAGAAAAAAAAGATGGATACGACAATCACTATTGAGGGGAGTTTTGTCAACAAAGTAGCAATACGCCATAAAAAAAACCATTCAAATAGGTTTTGCCAGAGTAGTTGTATTTGGAGTTACTATGAGGGCACATATTATAGGGAGCATAGGAAGGTGCGAAAAGGAACGTTGCGTGCCTTAACTACTAAATAATGGAAAAGGTGTCCCCACAGGCTACTGCAGACTAAATAAAGTGAAGAAAGGGCCGTTTGCGCCATTTGTTGGGATGAGAATAAAATAGCGTATCACTTCAAGGACTATCCAACACCAGAGGTTCACTGCAAACTGGAGTTTGATACTGTGAAGGTATATTCAGGGGAATATTCAAACATCTGGACCTTCCCCTAGGATGTCAGGTAGGTTTGTTGAACATTTTGCAAATAAGTAGAATGTTGACCGCTATGAGCCTAAAATGTCAAAAGTTACTACTATTCCTCATGTGCGGCACTTGTTTGATGCCACTAGATTGGTTAACTGAGAAAATATAATGAGGATGAGACCCAAAGATTTCTGATGAGATCCAAATAGCTCCAAGGAGATCCAAAGAAATGTGCATGAAGCATATATTTGTTACTAAAAGAGTGTCAGTGGCTAGCTCCTCGTACGCTACTGGTTGTTAATGTCCCTTGAATATTCCAACGAGCGGTGATGATTACTGAAAAAAGAATTAAGTGGCTTCTAGGTGAATGCTGGTCACGCAAAGGTGATGTAATTTGATTTGAAGTCATGTAGTATCGGTACGTGCGCCTTTACATTCATGATATTGATTTCAGATTAGTTTAACATTTTTTTGACATTTATTGGTATGTAGCCAGTTATAGTTATGAGGGTTCATAAATGTTCGTTGATATCATCAGTTCTAGAATACATGGAGTGATCGTTTGGCATATAAATGACTGCGAGGTGATTTGCAAAGCGCTTTAAACCATACATGGAGTTTAAGGGGCTTAAGCTGTATATTGTACCTACATACGTAATGTTATAAACCTTTCTACCACTTGGTGATCTAAGATGTGAAGATTACACCACAGATTGAAAAAGTCATACAGACACTACTTTCTAAAAGCTCTCACATCTTCTTGTTTTGTTCTAGTTTTAGTGGGGTTCGCATGTCTAACCAGCAAAAAGACAGTAAAAAATAACAACAACAACAACAATGAAACGTACAATGTATGCCGGGTATTGTTGAATACTGGAGTTGGTAAAACGTTTTTAGGATTTGTCTAGAATCCTATTGTATTTCACACTGATATTTCCACACTCTCTATGTTTTGCACCTCTTGCTTCGCTGGTTCTTTCTTGTTAATATACACGAGTTCTGTACATGGCAGGAATTGTATACCATTATTTGGATAATTGCTGAAAATGCATTATAGCTCGGTTTAAAATAACACAATTGCGGATTTTATTATCCAGTCTTCTGTGCCGAAAGATAATATATCAGTGTTCTATAAAAAAATTTATTTACAAAACGTGTACAAAAATTTACAAAATCACTCAAGTTCTCTCCATATGACTAATTTTCAATGTATTTTCTGCAGTGCAAGAGTCTTAGGGTCATAGGTATACAATGGATCTTCGATAGAAATAACATTTTCATATTTTAACCTAGCAAGAAATTCCATGTTGACTTTATCATCTTTGGTAGAATACATAATCCTCTGGAGTACTCCATTTGGGTGATATATGTAATAAACTCCCATGTCTCTTACACTAGGTAATGAATCTTGCTTCTTATCAACCACCGATGGTGGACCGGTAGTAACGTCAAACTCCTCGACCTCTTTAAGTTTTTCGCTTTTCTGTCCCCTCTTTTTCCTAGTGAATTCGCTAAGTTCGTTGATTATTTCTACTTCTTCGTCTTTATAGCTGGTCTCGGTTGTGGGTTCCTGTGGTCTAGTAGTTGTAATGTCATTTTGGGATATCGGCTTGTGATAAGGGGGTCCATACTCCTTAAAATAAAGTACTAATGTAAGTATTAAAAGGTCTCGGAGTAACAGGGGTCCGAAACCAAATTACTTGTACCAAACTACAGCACTTGGCTAATTTCGATTGAATTGCTATAATATGTTTAGACTTCGGAGAACTATGATCTGGTGACTATAGACTAAGAAAATGTCTCGCATCCCCGTAAATCAAATTTACTTTTGAAAATACTGTGGCTGCTGCCTTGAAGGGTAACTAAGGGTGTGGTTCATAAACGTATAATTTGTGTATTAAACTATCACCTTAAAACAACACTCTTCGTTAAATTTGATGAACTCGCTCTCTTGGTTGACAAACATTTTATGGTTCTATTAAGCACAAACACCATCAGAGAACATATCAACACAGGAAGATCAAGAACAAAAAATAAGCTAGCCACGTTAAAACATATTGTTTTATTCACTAACTTATCAGTCACAGCAATATTGTTACCATAGTCAATTCAAGAACAACTTTTGGAATTCTTTTAAAAAATTGCCTAAATAATTTTTGACACAGTTTTGGTTCTGAAAACATGCAGATTCATTAAAAGAGTCCGTTTTTGAATAAGATTACGCAAAAAAAACGAAGCAGAATATTTTTCCCATAAGATGAACATATTGCCCGGACTATCATGCATCCATCACGCAAATCAAACGGTACGCTACCACAGAGCGTTGAAAAAACAAAATGCCGGTTTAACCACTAAAATTTGTGAATTTGAAAACAGATCGTCTAAGTTAGATAAAATTTCGCAAGGTGACGGATGCGTACAAAGTTGCATCCAAGTAGTCTAGTGGCACAAAAAGTCGTTAATTTTCAATATGGATGCCGTTAGCTGAGTGCACCCTGTAAATTGGTTGATGCTGATTTTTAATCTTAAATCAACTATATTTTGGCTTTAGCTGCGAAAATTATTCTGTACTATCAACAACAAAGAATTGTCAGTTGAAGGTTTTTGGACCAACTCTTAGATCTTTACATTATTGGATGCGAAAAGCTGCCCGTGTATTCTTCCCAAGTTGCATCCTCTAACATCATTGTGATGGATATTTTGTGGTTCATACCTTTTTCAGTAGTACACATTAAAATAAAAGATGTTTCTACGAAAAATATGAAATGCTTGAACTATTTACCTCAAAAGGAGTTTGTGGCGAATGCTCCACTGGTGGTTGTGTTGAAGTGTACTCTGAACCAATCGGAGTCCCAGGCTTTCCGGGCATTTCAGGTGCACCAGGAGACCCAGGAGATCCAGGAGATACCGGAGATACAGAAGATCCAGGAGATACAGGAGATCCAGGAGATCCAGAAGCTCTAGGTGATTCTGTTGTTTCAGGCGTTTCTGGCCCTACAGGTGATCCAGCAGGTGACCCTCGTGCTCCTGGTCTTCCACGTGTTTGAGGAGTTCCGGGCGTTTCGAACTCAGGCCCATTTGGTTTCCATCCAGACGGGGGATATGGTCCTGAGTGGTCCCTTGAATGATTCGCTAACACCAACGCCACCTCTAGTATCACAAGTAAACTAATGCTGATATTAAACATTTTGCGGGCGTTACTTGCGACTGACTGGGTGTGAAAAGTTACATAAGATGTTTATATAGCCGTTGTCGTTGAATAAACATTCAAAAGTGTGCAAAAACTTAACACTGACCCGAAAAAAGGGGACTATCAAATGCATAACTAGATTATTCTGTTGCAATCGTCTTAAAACTGTTTACATGTCAATTAATAGGTGAATTACGAGATAAACAAAAATACTTTCATTCTACTATTGCGAATAACCTTTCAGGTATTCTGTTATTTTGTAGTTTAACTTGTGTTATGACAAATTCGGTAAAACAAATTTAATTCATCAAAAGGTGGAATAATAAATTAGAAAAACGGGCGTGTTGTAATTTTTACTTACCGTCATGTTCCAGAGGCCTGAGTTTGAAGCCTGCCAAGAAGGACATCTTATAGATTTGATTCAATTCAAAACCATTTTTCTTTGTTTCCTACCTCTATCCATTAACCCTCTATCCAGTTTAACTCCCTCCTCTTTGGCGACTTCAATGTCTACAATGAAAACTGTTTACGGTCAAACAAAATCAGTGCATTAGTTTGTGTCGTGTTTTGTTGGATTTCTTCCTGCCCATGCAATCTGTCCCCGACAGCAGTACTGTCCAGCCACCCTTTTTTCTAACGATTACTGGTGATGCGAATTCTGACGAAATTTTGTTCTGACAAACTGTTCGAATGAAAAAAAGCCTGATTACACTGGCGGCGACCAGTACGTCAGAATATGTGCGCCGTCGTCAGAACTTTTTGAGCGTTCAAACAGATTTGACTTTTCCGTACGACCTGTCTCTGTTTTGAGTACTTTTTGGCTATTTCACCATAGATAACTATAGATTGATGAATTTGGTGATAGTAGGCAAACATTGGATAAAATTGCTGCAGGACTCAACACTACGAGTGATTTGATTTGTTCTGATCTGGGTACATGACACACATTTAAATTAACTACACTTGTTAACTGTATAGCCAAATAGTTATGTCTTACATTTTATCCGTCAATAACATGACATTTGGAGCTTTATATTGTTACAGTAGGTTGTATTGAGATTGGACATCACCAGCGGGATTAACAAAATGAATTTTTTAGGTTTCTCTAGCCTCATTCGCGCTTCATCCGTAGTGATTACATTCATCTCTATGAAACTAGGACATTATGTGGGGGCTTGATAAGTCCATCTAATCCTGAAATACTCGAAAAACTTTTGCGGTTCGTACAGCAACCTTTCAAATAAATTTTCAAACTCCCCTCTCTACTAAGAAGTAAAGGATCTACATGCTCTTTCACCATAGAAGGGACTTTCAAAGAAATAAAATTCATCAACTTCGTCCATATTTGCTGGGTGTTAGAAACGTACTGACAACCAAAATTTCATGAAACATGCACAGTGTGTTCTGACGAGGAGGTTGGCGTACTCGTCCAAAAAATATTTCGTCAATAACCTTTGTCTTAGACAAAAACCTAAACACTGAGACACCGCGATTGCACATACACAGGAACGCATTTATAGGGGGATTTTCAATGTAAAATTTTTGCCTAAAGGGCTTCATTAAAAAGGTACGGAGTGTGTGTAAAATTAACGTGTACCAGTGGCGGAGATACAGGGGATTAGTGGCGTTATTTTTCCAAATAAAAATAGTACGCCACTGTTTTTTTCGAAACGTGCAATTTTTCAAATTATACCTCCAATTTGCAACAAATAATTAATCTTGTGGTTTTGTCTTAAAGTGCATTGTTTTCGTAAAAATGAAAAAAAAACAAATTAAATAATCAAAGCTTCATTCCAATAAATGCTCAAAAAGGCCACAGTTCTGACGGATACAAGTGCGGCATATTTTTAATAAAAAATAGCTATTTCCGCAAAATTTGTTGTGGCTTGGATTTGATGAAACTCATTATCTGTTCTTTATGGAAATGAAAAAAAAAGACTTTTGACATGACTTTCACAAAAAAAAAATGGCAGAAGTAACGATAACAACCGTATAACATCGAACTTTGACAAACTGTCTCCTAAGAAACTTCAAGTTGGTATCAAGGACCCCTATTTTATTTTGAAACTAATTGTATCTCGACTCTTCATGAATGGGCTAGTTTGTTTTATTTTTATTTTTATGAAAACAGTGGACTCTAAGAAAAAACTCAAGAGTAGTTATTTGTAGCGAATTGAAGGTAAAATTCAAAAAATTGCGTGTTTTGAAAAAAACAGTGTCGTACTATTTTTATTTGGAAAAACGATGCCACTAATCCCCTTTATCTCTGCCACTGGTGCACTTTAATTTTGGGTAAAGACTTTTGAACGTGATTCATACTTAGGTTACTCTACATACTAAATTTTAGTTCATTCCAGTTGATGGTTTTGAGGATATTAAAAAAAATGTTATTTATTTTTAAAGTCCAACACCCCGTATCGTTTTAATGTAGCCTTCGGGGAAAAAATGTTACACAGGAGACCCCCCTATGTATGATGTTTCAATTTTGGTCACGACTTGTGAATCACCGTGTACATTACTCTATTATTATTTTCATATTATTCAGCTTTGATAATGTATCAAAAGCTTAGATTTGCATACTTGATAACACATATTTTCATAGCGTGGTTTGTAGTATATATAAGTATCGACCGAGTTCTAAATATAGTAACAAAATAGTTGGAAATCCCTTTCGATTACCCCGATAAAAAGGAAAAGTTTCTCCTTTCAACACGCTATAGACAATACATAAATAGGAAAACAAGTGGCGAAATCGTCGCTTTAAATATATAGACGGCTTATAGGACACTTCTTATGATAAAATGACGACCAATATCTAGTATGAATCTCCACTGGCTTGGTTGAACAAATTAATCATTAATACGTAGACCCCATTTAGGTACTTTCAGAACATAGGGTTTCGGAAAAAGCATTCTTCGGAAGATACAAATTTGGCTAGCTCTAAGTATAACTTTGAGCATTCGAATTAGGTGCTGACGCTTAGGGTGTTTCAGGAAGACACGTCAATATTTCTAGGGTAGAAAGTACATCCAAAAATAATAAAAAAAATCTTATATACATGGGCTTCCCTACCGACATACAGGGTGATGACATCTTATTTATGAAATTAGTAAAATTATATCTACGGAGCGGGTAAAGATACAGAGTTATGATTTTAGAAGCTCAGTAAGCACATCGTCAGCAATAAACACACTGAGTTTCCCGACCCAAACTAAACCAGAGACGTGAAACTGTGGCACCTGGACCTCTGATGTTTTTTACGCCACTAACCTTATCGCAGAAAGGAAGTGTATTTTATAAAATACCTCTAATTTTCCATAAATTTTGTCAGCTAAGGAATGTCCGTCAGATCTATATATTTGGAGATATTTAGGTTTGAATATTTGAGGTAAAATCCTGAAATATACTCTTATAAAAAGGTTCAGCTTCCCCTATTCTGGAAAACACGGGAAGTTTGATATTGGAAGCCCGATACGGTATGTGAAGAAAGCTATGGCACCTCATTTCATTATTAATTGAATAATAAGCGTGTCTTATTCTCAAACAGTTGCGTAGAAGCTTACCATTTATCAAACCGTTCCTGTGCACGCCACTGGTTTTATCAGCATATCTATTTTTGATATAGATAAGGAAACTTCAAAACAAAGAACACGTTTTTTCAAAAATAAACAAATAACGCTAATATGTAAAAGTTAAACTCGGCAACAATAAAAATTACATTTGAAACCACTTAGTGGTTATTTCTAAATTTATGAGAACTTAAAATTGGGAACAAAAAATAGTGTTGGATAAATGCTATAACATCCAACCTACAGGAGGTGTTGAAAGTGACCACCTCTGGATTCAACACAAGTCGCTGCTCTACGCCTCAAAGATTCTCGGACTCTCTGGAAAATACCTGGCGTAGTACGAACAGTGTTGAAAGCCTTCTGTATACTTCGTCATCATACTTCGTGTCCGAGGCTACTAACGATATGTGATATCTTCTTTATTTCGCTCACTTAATCGGAAATGGTTAAGAATGTTCAGAAAAGAACGCCGATAATTTCAGAAGTAAAATAACAAGAATTTTACTCAAATCTTGGTTCCACAATTACTAGATGTGATTTTAGACAAATAGTCGAATCTAAGATTGGTAATATCAGGAGAGGTATACCATGGAAACCAGTGGCGTGTAATCAATGGCCAAGCATCTGCGCTACCAACTGAAGATAAGACACGCATATTATTCAATCAATGTTGTAATGTGTTCATAAGAATATTTCAGGATTTTACCTCAAATATTAAATATTAAGAGACAAAATTAATGGAAAATAGATTTTTTTTATAAAATGCACTTCTTCCCTCCGAAAAGGACGGTGGCGTAGAAAATATTCCCATTAGGGTACCCCAGTTTCTTCTGGGTTAGTTTGCGTCGGGAAACCCTGCGCTTATTGCTTATGATGTGCTCATTGAATGTCTGAAATCTTAACTAAGTATCTTTACCCGCTCCGTAGATATATTTTTTTCGATTTCGTAAATACAACTTCATCACCCTGTATCTCGGTCGGGAATAGGAATATTGCCACGTTTTCTGAAAGACCTTGTATGTGGAAAAAGTCCAAGCTCACTAGTTTGCATCAATGTATATGAGATTCCGGACTATTATAGGTATTTGATTCCCTCATTAACTGTGGTCGTTATGTTAATAAGCAGAATTTTGTACTGAAATCACAAAAGTCAACGATCTTACTTGACTGACCTGTTATCTAGAGCTATATGTCTGAACAAAGCGTTTTCAAATTCCTTATATTCCAATATTTAGGTTTCTGTATACGCGGCTGCTTGGGTATAAAAATATCTGGAGTTTGAATATTCGAACGGAGGTCTTGTGCACCTCATGTAAACTATCACGGTTCAAGAGATAAATCAATCACTGTACGATAGTATGGCATCTTTGCAAGTTTAAAATTGTTTTATTGAGGTCATTCTATTCTTGTAAGAGTATTATTTTCTATCCACTTTCTTACGTTGTCTAGACAGTTGCGTGCAACTTATGCAATTAAATTATCCACCCTAGATCTATATCAGACGGTATGGTTAGAACAGTAAGGGAATGTTGGCATGTTGTTAAAAGCAGGAGTTATAATCAGGATAATGAGATTATTTTTTTCTTGGGAGATATCAAGGATCAGAATGATTAATAGGCTCCTTCTCCCCACAGTGTTTAGAGAAACTAAAACGCATGTGTTAACAGAATGTTGTCAGGAAAAATTGAGGGAAGATCCAACACATAAATGTGTTTAGATATTATATGTGATGTTGAATCCTTAGCGACGATGACTACCACAGAGTTTTACCTCTTGCCAAAGTGGTTTTTTAATACATGACATGTGTTCCTTCACGTTAGCATCTTCAGGGAAAAATTAAAACAATTTTTAAAGAGATGCTAACATAGCGAAGCAGGTGTTGGGTATTAAAAATTAGTTTGACGAATGGTAAACCTCTATAGTAATCAAGTCTGGAAATTTCCCAAAAATGCATGTCGGTTTCTCAAAGCGATTTAATTTTGGTGAAAACGAGTCTGTTCGAGATTTTAGTTGTGTTCGTTAAGAAAAGTACCAGCTCGATTATTGTTTTATAAATAACGATAAGCATATTTATGTACCTACTGCATAATGCGGCGCATTTGAACGAGAAACCCCAAGAGACAACAATAATCAATCTAGCTTTTAGATACTGATACTAATTTTTTGAAACCTTGGCGGATTATGTTATATCTAAGCATAAGGAGATTCCGTCAGGAATGTCACTGATGTAAGTACTTTAAAGAAGAAACTTGTACATGCTGTATAACTGTATTCGAAAAATGTGAGGAAACTCAATATCATAATATTACAATAAAAATGAGACATAAGATATAAGACAGACCACGATATTGCTATGTATTTTCTGACGCTGGATACGAAACCAGGATCAGGGAGGCACCTAGACGTCTGGAGTAGTGGCCCCAAAAACTACCCATAGGAGGCCTGAAAATTGAGTGACCGATGGCAGATGCTGGAATATGGTGTTTCCATGAATTTTTCAACGCTAATTTTGAATTTGAGGTCAACGAAATTGTTCCACTTTTGGAATTGACCACCGGGAAAAAAAACTACTACTCCTAATAAGGGGTGAAACATTGATTTTCGGATGCCAGATGTTGTGCTTTCAACTCTGTTCATACATGCATCAGACTGCCGAAAAACCATTTAGCATCCATCACTCAAAACAGAATTTTCATCCGTACTTACCGGTAACTTTGACGTCAAGGTAGAATTCAAAAAAGCTGTTTTTTTTACTTCAAATTTCCATTGAACACTGAAGAATTCCGATTCAGAGTTGGAGAATATATAGGAATACCGTGGTTGGGCATCGGCATCGGAAGTTCAATTTCACCCTTTTTATTGGCATTTTTTGGTCCCGAGGGACAATTTCAGGGCTGCAAAAATTTCGTTGAAACCAAATTCGGATTTAGCATCGAAAACACATGTGAATACCTTACTCCAGGAACTGGCATTCGAAACTCAATTGTCACACCATTCAGGGGTAGTTTCTGGGTCCGGCATAATCGACAGAACATGGTCTGCCTCATGGATCTCGACCTTAAATTTTTTTGTGGAGCTGTGTAATGGACAAATTCCTTGTATTACGGGAACAATGCATTTCCAGACCTATGCATATATTTGAACTTTGTCCTCATACTTATACCGACTAAAACGATTATGCTGACAACACCCCTAAAACATTATCTACATGCCTCATATTTTTGAGACAGCATTCTGAACCAAATATGGATTCAAACTACGATGTGTAGGAAATCAAAATCCTTGTAGGTTTTCATTTAGATCAGTTTATTCGGAACAACTCAGAAAATTATTGTGTGACTTGTTTGAAAACATAAGTTTCAGGGTCATACGTGTAGATAGGTCCAGAGACGGGTTCCACATTCTTGTACTTCAATTTTGCGCTGAACGCCATGTTCCTTGCATCGTCTTTGGTCGCATACATCACCCGTTGCAGCAGACCTGTGGGATGGTAGATGTAGTAGACGCCCATTTCTTCAATTGGGGCTTCCAGATTCTCTTTCTGTTTTTCTTGTTCTTCTGGTACTGGAGCGTTACGTTGGCCGTTGAAGTTTTTCGGAGTTGTTGGTTCTGTGGTGTTTTTCTGTTGTCCTTCAACAGCTGTGACGTTTTTGTTTTCATCCTCGGCGACCTACAAAGTAACAGTTCGGCTTCAAGTCAGGATACTTCTGATATCGGAAGGTGTTCAAAACAAATCTGATTAGAGTTTCTGGACAATAACACCGCTCAGCATTGAACATGCTTTTGTTTCAATAATAGCAATTTCCAAAGCATTTTGTCTTGTTAAAAAAAAACGAGAAACACTATGAAAAGTTCAGATCAGTTCTGCTTTCCAAAACATAGAACCTACTTGTGGAATAAGATCCCACTAAACACTGTGGTCTGGAAATCGTATTCACCACGGCAAAAATAGACAATTCAGAGAACTAGAATTGCCAAAGTAGCCCTTTTATTTGCTATGAAGTAGGTAACTAGTCCCATTGGAACATGAACCCAACTGCCGCTTGGGACATACTGATATCGTGGCAGAACATACTAGTAGCCGCAAAGCTATAAACAAAAATATGAGAACAATGAAATTTGAATAACGATACCCTCGAGCGCCAATGGCCGAGATGCTAACCACCCTTTTTTGCTAAACATCAAGTAATCAAAATAGCAGACAACGGTCTAACAGCCCAAAAAAATGATACTTATTCTTGTTTTATTTTTTATCCTCATTACCTTCTTTTGACACTGAACAGCTAGGACTGACAAAATGAACACAAGACAGTGACTCATGGGCAGAGGAGTCTCCTCACTTACCTTATATTGAGCTGGTTGATAGTAGAATACCTGTGGCTGAGGCTGCGACGGTTGTACCAGCCTAATGAGGCTTCCAGGCACGACACCTTGTTGAGCTGGTGGCTCTGCATTAGACAGAGCCAATACAGCAACGAAGATAGCGTAAATTGAGTACATTTTCACTGATTGTTGTGTTTGTTGTGTAACTAGTAAGTTGGTGTTGATGACTGATGTCTGTCTAACAAATCGCTGGACGTTATATACTTGTAAATGCCCTCATAAGATCGTCGGTCATTGTGCACCGATGATATAATTTGCAATGACCCGATACAGGTGTCGGTCGAGTTATCAGTTAATTTATTCATATCAGGTGCTGAGGTTACAAGGTAAGTTCGAGAGAATATGTGATATCGATGAAAATGTTGGAGAGACCTTGTCTATAGTACAACGAATACATCACATCTCAGAAGCAGACCTTATACCTTTCTGGTCACCGACTTAGCCGAAGCTATATGTATTGAAATAGACTTGCTAGTGTATATTCCTAAAGTTCTAAGGTGCACAATTTGAATTTCTCACCATTTGTCAGCAATAATTTGATTGGAAGCAATGAAATTAAGGAATTGATTTTGTTTTTTAAATAATACAGAGGACGTTGAGTTATTGTTTGTATTAATTACCTGTACATCTTATTGTATAACAATTGTCATAAAAACAAACTTTCAACTGGCATCAGCTTCAAGACATAAGAAAAACATATCATTAGAGGAAAAATATACTGCATTTATACTTTGGAAAAGATACCTTTGGTCTGAAAGTTTAGATGTAAGCCATGCGTATTCAATCATTTTCTTACGAGATTGTGCTTATAACTGGTGTTGGATTAATGAACGAAGTCGTAGGAATCTTCACGGTATGAGATTCAGCACTTTTATGCAACTAAGTATGAACAGTTCTGGCTTCTTTTAATATAATTTTTGATTAACCGGTGAAAGTAAACATCTCATGGTTGACAAATTGTAATGCATTTCGGATTAATAATTTTTACAGTACACGTTGTCAGATCTTGCATTCAAGCATTTTTGGAACTTGGGCGGATGGTGAGACTGACCCTTTATATAGAAATGTCTTCCCTATTTTTAAGGTTATGCCCCTGAGGACTTTGAGGCAAGGTCGGTGACCCAAAGAGTGCAAGGTCTTCTTTTCAGAGTAATTTCGTGCAAGTCCCATCAAATACCTTTTCATGTTGCCCACGAAAAGAAAAATCTAAAGAAGACCAGACTGCGAGGAAAAATCTAAGCTACCAAGCGTATTCCCTGGGGTTAGTTCTTGGAATAAGGGAGTTGAAAGCTCAGAAAACCTGGGCGTGGTTCTGTTACATTTCGAAGAACACTGAGAGAAGAATCATCCCCGTCATTCAAGGGCGAAAAAGTGAGAAGGTCTCACCGTCGTTCATCAGTCCCACACCTGAAGACGAAGTTTGTGTTGGGGTGTTTGATTATGAGAATCAGAATGTTTTGCCGCAAATGGATGCATTCTCAAGCTGATTTGACAGATGCTGACACAATTTGGGATCATTTCCCGGGAAGCATTTCCCAAGAATCGTTCTATTCATCTGAGCTCAAAATTAGCCTCCTGTGTTGATTCAACATTGCGATTTCACTGTCACTTTTCCATAGGCAACCTGTAAATATTAGGCACTGTTTTTAGGGTACCCGTTCATAGCATCAACCCGAGTTTTCTCTTTCAACTGTGACACTACTGTAGACGTTCATGACGGCTGAGGTTACATCTAGATTGAGATTTATGACCTGCCTAGAGGACACCAGTAAAAAACACTCGACATGCGCAGATTAGCTGTTATATCTTTGATGAGCACTCTTTCTGGTCTACATAAACTTGGGATTTTGTTAGCACGTGACCGTGAAAAGGTGAGGTATCTCATGAGAAATGAACAAAGATGTGGCCTCTTTCAAATAATTATACAGGGCAAAGTGAACAGCAAAAAAGGAGCATTATATAGGAATCTTCTACCATCAAAATACATGGAAATGGTGCATCGTGAATCGACTGCTTTTCACAGCCACCAACAAAAATGGTCATGCAACACAAGAAAAAAGAGAGCTGTCTCAATTAGCATAAGACACCAGTCACTTGTAGGTGTATCTGTCTTACTGGCCTTCATGCTTGTATCCTGAGAGACTAAATTCATTTATATGTTAAGGTTTGTTTCACAGTAGTGGCTGTAAACTAAAAAAATTGGCTTTAAATGACACCATGTTTATCAGTAGGTGTTGACCCCAAGTTATAAAATATGAAAAAAAATATTATATTACAGTTGCTAAAACGAAAAATTTCACATAGTAACAGTTCCATAAGTATAGGACTTTACACAGCAAAAACATTTAAAACCGATATGTTTACGAAATATGTCCATTAATTTTTCTGAGCGTATCCAATAAACAAATATATCCGATTTAGTATGCTCCAAGGTATATAATTTTAATATGCGTTTTACGGCGTAAAGCAACCTTTAAATTCGGACAGTGTGCTGAATTTAAAGTACCGTATAAGCATTTGGTTTGAGAATATAAAAATATTTGAACGCAATTTTTAGAATGAGATTATTACAATGTGCGTTAGATAATTGTTTTATTTTTACCTAGGTCTCTCCACAGTCAGGAAATCTGTAACCCCTAAATTGGCAAATTCTCAACAAAATGTCACTGTTATAGCCAACGAAAATGAGGTTTATAATTGTTGACAATCTAAAAGCCAATAAATAATAGTAAAAAAATATTAATTCATTACTTCTTTGTAAATATTGCATCTAATGTGAAGATCTGTCCGTTTTCAGGTCAAACAGAATAAGGTTTTTCGTTGGGTGAACCGTAGAATATTGTTCTTCTTACTAAATATCACCGCCCTTTTCCCATAGAGTCTGTGAGTGTGTGTGTGTAGCTTTCCACGCATTTCAACAGCTGGAAATATATTTGACCTCGGATATCGCACCATATGTATAACTTTTGTTTCTGAAGCTCAAATTCAGTTCAGAGGTGGAGGTAGCAACTTTTTCCGGCTAATAATATGCTCTTTTGCTGAAGACTCTTTCTTAAATGATCTACTTCGCTATTTTGCGATCGGCACAATGAATTTAGAATGACATTATTTGGTTATTGTGTTTCTTTTATTAAGCCCTTTCATTTGATATCCCTAGTATAACGGTAACTATGGCAATTGTATATCACAATCTTGCGGTGGACGCCTTATTGTAAGTATTTAGAATGACGTTACTTTACTTCTCACTATAGAAATTAAAAATCGCCGTTTTGCGGTGGCCGCCATATTGTGCTTAGATTAACTAAGCGTGCTGATTGCGTTTCTCTCGTCAAGCCCCATCGTTTGATATCCATATCATAGGGAAACGATAAATTTCCATTTTGTAGCATCCGCCATATTAGATTCAAAATGGCGGCAGTTAATTTATTTTTCATTAATACGCCAACCAAACTAGTGTACAAAATTCATCTCAATTGGTTAAGGTAAGCGAGTTTAAAACTCAGTTCCATGATTTGTCCCAGACATACTAACAAACACGTGATGTCAAATATTAGCAAGTAAAAAATAATCAAACTACTCAGACTAACCCAGATGCTCAATTCAGCCTCACGATACGGCAGTAACTCATGCGAAGTTGGGGCAAGATTACGATATTGTCAAATGGGCAAGGACTAATTACATTGGCTTGCTTGAATGACTTGATCCATTTAGCCTTGTTATGTATTTTCATCGTTAATCTTCTCATACGAGGCTAACTTGAGACATCGTTGCGTGGCAAGAGATAAATCTTCTTGACGCTTTTTTAGGTAGACTTCCACTACATGTATTGCCTACTTTGTTGTGCATCAAAAATACTCGCAGGTTTCCAGTAAATTGAAACACTAAAACTAGAGCATCTATTTTACCCCGAATCCAGAAATACGTCGTCTACGTATCGGTATCGATACAAACAAAATGTTTATGGTATCGACATCCTAAGGCCTCCAAATCTAGGCCAGGACATACTTGAATCCGTATGTTCCGAGTTCGCCAAATACGCTCATCAGTATTCAGAACATTTCTGTGCGGAACATTGAAAAGAATACAGAACAGCCTACCAAGAGTGTCGACTGGGTGTACAGCGGAAATATGTAGGGTTATGTCATCAATAACATTCCTTAATTATGAATATACAATAAACATATAAATAATAATTTAATATTTATTTTTGCTAGTAATCGATCGTGGTTGATATCGACACCATGAAAAATTTGGTGCTTTTGATTCTTGTTGGGCTTGCGGCATGCCAGGTTGAGCATGCGACTGATATCGAGATTCATCAGGTATGATATAGTTAGTAAAAAGTCTATTAAATTTTTAAGTCATTTTCCTGGTAGTTGTTTCTTGGAAGATTTAAGTGAAACTCACCGAGTATATATTATGTGCAAATTTCGGATTACGAATTTCTGGCTGCATAGAAAATAACATCGCTTGAAAATTCTTTGGAAGCATTTCATATCAATGAAATAAAATTTCCAATTGAATTCCTGATAAAACAACTCAGCTATTCAAAATTTAGCAGCTACTCTAACTATGAAAAAAGTTGGAATTTGTGGGTGGCACATTCATTTATTTTCAAGTAGTTCAGTAGCAAGCAAAACTATTCTAAACATAGCTTGCTTTCAGAAGCTTATTTGGAAGCTTGTAATTTTTCTCGATTTGTCTGCTAGTCTTTTCAAAGCCTCATGTTTAGTTTAGTTTCTTTTAACTCCGATGCTTAAAGCCTTCTACAATCCATCATCGTACAGTGTGTGCCAATATTTGAAATTAGTGTCATTTTTAAACGACTTGAACTAGAAATTTTATTATTTACACGTGCCATCTAGAGACTCGGCGATCTAATTAAGGATCATTTTACTTTGCAGTTTTGGATTTTTCATCTTTTTATGATTCCTCATCAATGTACTACCAGTACGATTATTAAATCTGAAATTTTCATAAAAATCACCATGGTAAACAATAGTGGCGAGTATTACCAGATATTTATGCACCTTCGCAGTATGATCTTTCAATAAGATAGGTCCACGTTTCATACGATGTGGTGAGAGGTTTTTCTGGGAGCCTCATGACTCTATTTAAGAAATCCACAGGCGACTAATGACCTGAGGAAAAATATTTATCAAGTTGTTGCTAGAACTGAGTCGTAATTGTACCAAAGAGATACCGAAAATTTAGTTCCAACAATGGGCATTTATAGAAACAGTTGAGAATACTATTTATAAAGCATAGCTGCCCCACTTCTTTATTTCGGTAATAGAGCAAGTTATTTGTCCAAAACTGGTAGCTTTATTTAAGACCAAAATCTCCAAGGACATCTTTTATGATGTGGATTCATTATAAGTGCAGTAAGCCTCCCAGTTTTGTTTTGCTTTAGAGTTCATTAGCAACGATGCTAGAACTCGCCCAAAATCTAAAGTTTAAGATCCATTTCTTTGGATGCTCAGTGAACTTTGATTTCAAAATTTGGAAAGAATGAAAGACCCTTAGAGGATCTGATGGTTCGAGGTCCAAGTAATAATTAATACAAATAAAACGTATCCTTTACCCCTCGATGTTTCAGGGTGATAAACTTTAGCGATGTGCTGCTCATATGGTTTTCAAAAAGTAAGTTCCGAACTTAATTTTTCATGCAACTTGATTCACTATGATTCCATGAATATAAGATTATATACTGGCTCCATTTTATTGGAAACCGAACTGACAGTCAAATTTTTGGAATGGATTTTGCTAAATGAAGTTTATTTAATGGCGCTTGCAGGTAAAGTCAGTTTACTGCGAATAGGATTGTAGTCTAAAAATCTTAGGATCTCGTTTCGAAAATTTGGAGGTTTTTTGCTGATAATATACTTTCTATGATTTGAAAAATTCTTTCTAGTTTTTAGTTTCTAATTAAAATAGAGGCAGAACCTGTGAAATATTCCACATTGATGTGCTCTTAGCACCATTATTTTACTTACCGCTATATAAAAGTTCTAGTCTAGATTTTGAAGTTTTGACAAAAGCTTGCGACTGTGCTAAAGATGATCCGCTTAGTAGTTTTTGTAAACGGATCCGGTGGCGACGGAGTTACAGGAAAAAAAACGGAAATACAAAAATCACTTAAACTTCGTCTTTTAACGTTTCAGAGGCTCATGATCATTTTTAAGTTTTTTCAGTGGTCAATAATTGGAGTTAAGGGAATGTAGGGCTATGGGCAGTATATAGTAATTTCTGGCGTAGTATATTTATACGCTTCCAGGCGCAGTAATCCCACGCAAATATTAGGCATGTTCCATAAATCACAGACTTTTTCGTACATTTGCACTTAAATGATATTTTACATACATGTGTCTCTCAGTCATAGCAACTTTTCGAGATGGTGGTCGGTAATGACAAATTTATAGATTGCAACGCATTCAAATGACTATGAACTGAATGTATGAGCCTGTTTGACTTATTTGATCCATGTAATTACTGTGTTATATACGTTCCTAAGTCACCCTTTTTTAAATTGGCCAACTTGTGCCGAACGTAATCTTTTAGGAACCGCTGACTGCGCTGCGTAAGAAGTGTAGAGCCAGCACACTTGATTCTATTTTTTCGCTTACTTATTTGGCCACTATACTTGACTTTAAATAGCATTCGGTAGTCAATAATCCGACATTGATGCCTATTGCGGAACCTACATTGTTTGCATGATAATTGTGGTTTTTGTATATTCAACTGAAATACCGTGGGATGATTCGCTATCATTTCTACTACTTCTATTTGGTAAAATGTGCGACAAAAAAATAGGGACGATAGGCCAAGGGCAGATCTACAGCATATCAAAAAATGACCCTAGTAAAAGTTTTACTGTTTTTGACATATTAATTTTTTTATCTCTCTTTTTTTAAACTATCTTTTGTTGCTGTACCTAGAAATAACAGAATATCTGTTTGTTTATTTGTAAAATATTCTCAGATAGTTGGTCTGCCATTTTAAATATCAGTTTCGATCATTTAAGTAGGTAAACTTGTCAAACTAATTTCTTCTCCGTAATTTTTATTTTAGAAAACTATTTCACTCCAGTTTGGTATTCAGCAATAAAATAAATATGTACTAGACTGCTACTGCAAACTACTGCGATATATTACCTGCTTAATCAGCAACAATAGCTAGATTAAACGAGGAATATTTTTGAAAAGACAAAAAAATAATACCTCAAAAACAGTACAACTTTTACTAGGATCAGTTTTTGGAATGTTGTAGATCTACCTTTCGCCTATCTTCCGCTTTTTTTCGTCCTATTTATCGGACAATCTCTATAAACGAGAAACTGATACACTAAGAATGCAAGTGAACGTGTCCACCATTTTCATTACATATCATCGTTTTAATTTCCTAAAATATGTGTATCTCCTCAATTTTGAACGCAGGTTGAGGTGACTGAGATCCCTTGGTCCTCCATCGACAAATTCGTCGAATCTCTGCCACCATTCAATACAGAACAGCCCTCAGATGCTGAAGGTACCACCACAGAAACTCCGACAACTACCATTAGCGCTAAATTGACAGAAGCAGACGCTCCGGAAGAGAACGGAGAGTACTATGTTTACCATCCTGAAGGGTTCCTACAAAGGATCGTGTACGCCACCAAAGATGACCCACAGAAGATGGAGTATACTGCTCAGTTGAAGTACCAGGACGTGGAACCAATCAGAAGTCCTGTCTATACTTATGACCCTGAGACATTAGCATTAATCAGATTGAACAAATAATTTTTTGTGTTGAACAGTGCTATTACGGGTTATTGTAAGATACGTACGTATTTGTTAAGACTACCTACTTTATTTTTTTAAATGCCAATATATTATTTGTTGCACTTATATAAATATGCTTGAATGTTTTGTGCTCCTTACATGAGGAGTTCAGGCTAGTTTTTCTCTGGATACCTGGCTGCAGTTTGTTGAAGCCCACTGGTGGTTCAGAACGGCTCTGTCGCATTCTGCGAAAACTCTGATAAAGCAAAGAATGTGACCAGTGACCACACGTTTCATATTCAATTGTTAATGTAGGATCGCAAAACGCTGTCTGTTACATCTATGGTAAAGTCAACACTCCGAGGTGCAAGTAGGGTTGTATTCTAAGCACAGACTGACAGACTGTGAAACTACTATTGATATAGGATCTCAAGTCATAACGTCTTCAGACATCGGGTCAGGCCAGGCTTTTTATTGTACAAATCTGTCAAATTGAAAGAGTTCTATGATTTGCACAACCATCGAGTATAGTGTCGTAGTCTGGAAAAGCTGTTTTCTTAAACATGGAAAAGTGAATACGTAACATCGTGTCAGGCAAAGAAGGTAAAGTAACGTATATTGTGAAATATCCTCACCTTCACTTGTGAAGTATACATGTAGGAAATCTTTTCGTTTGCCCATTCAAACACAGTTTGACAGACTGTGAAACTACCATTATTATAGGACGTCAAGGGCATAAAGCATAACGTCTTCAGTCATAGGGTCAGGCCAGGATTTTTATTTTATAAATGTCTCAAACTGAAACACTTCTATGATTTGCAGAAGTGAAACGTTTTTCTGGAGATATTTCTTTTTTCGTACACAATTTTCATAATTAATTTTTGTGTGGCACTGCAAAGAAACATGATGACTTGTGCACTGGTGATGCAATGTAGGCGAAATAGATATTTATAATGTTTCACAGGTTAGTTTACTGTAAACCCATGATGCAGGAATGAACTAAGGCTTTCCCAGCTACACTGATACTGGTGTATACGGAATGAGTATCTTAACCCAGACCTGTATCACCATTATACAAAATAATCATTATTTGCTCAGCCCCCTGACGTCGTTTTATACTCGTATAGCTAAAAGAGATTCTATTAGCGCATCTCATACTTGATGCATCTCTATTTTGATAGAAAACATGTTATGTTATGAATACCGCGAAATTTTTCTTCATCTTTGAAGTGAAGGGTGCATATTTTGACACTTGTCGTGTTCATACATGAAAAACTAAATTTTAGTTTGACCTGTATGTATGTACAAATATGTGTATGTATGTATGAGTGTAACTTCAAAATTTCCAGAGAGGCAAGGGCCGATGACAATCTTGGCAAAAAATCGAATTTGAAAATTGAAAAAAAAATAAATAGATTTCTAAAAAAAATTGCATTCGGAAAGTTTGAAAATTATTACAGATGTCGGAAATTTTAAAATAAAATTGGGAATTTTAAAAAGATTTATTTTCAAATATAAAATATAGTAAAGCTCTTGATTATAAGTATTTTTGGTGTCATAGTAGAATTCAGAAGATAGATTATATTTTAAAAAAAGTAACAAAACCCGCCATAATAGTAATTCGAAAAACAGAAAATAATTATCAAGTATAGGAGAGGTTGTGTTACAGCAATAAAAACTCCTACAAACAGCAATAAAAAGTCCTACAATCAAGTTTGACTTACAAATTTGGAACAAGACCAATCTAAAGATTAAGATAATAACAACAAATTCAAGATGCAATCAACTATAATTTCATTATAATTCTAATTTTGTAAAAGGCAATCGAGTTTCCCACGCTTTATTAGTATCATTGAAAGTTTTGTTAATATCTGAATTTTTAGGTTGATCTTATTCCAAATTGATCGGTCATACCTACTTGATTGTTGAACATTCTGTTGAAGTAACTCTCCTATATTTAAATTATAAGTTTCAGTTCGATTTGCTAGTAAAGCGTCTTTTTTATTGAAATCGCGAAAATTTTCGAAAATGAGATATTATGTTTGTTGGATGCTATATGACATGTACATCGCGAGGAAGCATGAAACCTATTTCCGTCGGTTTATAGGTCGGTCTGTCTATCTGTCGCAAACGCTTTGTAGTTTTTGAAAGCCGGTCCAGTAGTGGCATAGAAAAAGGCAAAAAAAAACGTTTCCTTTTAACGTTTCAGACAAAAAAATTTATAGGGACTAATAATTGAAGGTTAGGGGTTGCAGGAGATGCGGGAGGCGATATCTCATATTTTTGCCGTTCGTAAATTTATATACTTCCAACCCCAGTAATTCTACGCATATATTAGACACATTCCATCCATCATAGGTGTCCCTGCACATTTACCCTTACAACTTGGAAATATCCACTGCAGTTGGGTGTCGATGCGTGCGACGTCATCTCCCGATGGACAAGCGTGGTGGTGATATGCCACAGTCGACAATGCCTTCCGCACAACACACAGCAGTGTGCGCTGTGTATGGTGAAGGCAATATCCTCATCCACGCGGGATTGGTCATCGCAACGATCATATGCGCCTGCAGCAGTTCCTCTTAGGGGGAGAACGACGGTCATTTAATTTTTTGTTGTACATGTTCGTCGTAGCTAACTTTTTTCTCTGAAGGGCTAACTTGTGCCAATCATAATTCTTCAAGATCTTATAACAACATAGCGTGCGAAGTACAGAGTCAACTTACTTGACGCCTTTTGTTTAAAGTATAATTTATTTCGGGACTACCGTAAAACGTCTGTCAGTACATATTAGTACTACCACTACGCTATTACCCAACTAACAATTATCACTCCTATTTGAGTTGCAAGAATGATTATACAGTATTCCTTACACAGCATTGTATACTGTAAGAACATTGGCAAAACCCTCTTACAACAGCTCTACAAGCGGAATGGGCACACCTAGTAGGACACTTCAGTCATTTGAGAGGTTTTATAAGGGCTGCAGGTAACAGTTATACAACAAAAGTGTAAGCCTCTTGCAGCCGCTATTGAACATTTGCGTCAGTGCACGATTCAGTCTTTGTCAACTATACAACTATTCTGTTACGTGATTATACTTTATTGCAACCAAACTATTTCTTATGTATTGTATAGACGAAGTGAAGAATATATAACTAACACAATACAGTCATCTTGTTTACTTACATATCGGCCATTGTGAATTTCATACACAGGTATATCATAAACTTCTACACTATGATATAGGGCTATTGAATTACTTGGGCAGCAAATTTTATTGTGATTATCGTGCAAAGTAGTTACGCAAATTCTACGGGCTTCGTATTTGATTCATATTTTGATAATGATCAAAAGTATGTCTAGATTTTTAAGATGGAAAACTGAACTTATCTGCGTTAAATCTTCCACAAATCCTATATTTAGACACAATTACATTAATGTTTATCACTTTATATGTGTAATTTCTAACTGAAACATAATTATTTAATATCAAATAGAGAAATATATGTTTGCCCAATATGGCGGGTGGTTGTGTATAATCATGGCATCATCCATGTTGTCTTTAGGTTATTAGAATATTTTGGTGTTGCCTGCAGGTGTTATACAACAATTTGACAAATGTCTGAAATGAAATACCGACAGAGTCGAATGATTCACCCAGAATTTGTACCAGATCTATATCTTCTATTTGAACAGTTGATAAAACATTTTGAACCAATATGCATGCGTTGTTTGTCTTAAAACATTGGTTATGGCATTTTAACTAAAATATGACAGCAGAAAGTTAGGTTACGGTGAAGTTGTATACCAACATATTTAGCAGTTACTAAACAACAGTTGTATAAGTGCTTCCGTTGGGAGCAATTTGTTGGCTAAAGTAGTAAATTTGCACAGCAAAACAACAAGGCTCGGGTTTGTTTTATAAACGTTACCATGGATGCCACAACACAACCATTTTGACTAACCTGCAAATATGCCGTATAAAATATTTGTTTAAATGTTTATGCATCAGTTAAAAATTTGTCCTATAAGGTGATGTGCAACTATGCTATAAGAATATTTTTAACACCTCATTTTAGAGCAAATATGTTGCAGAAAGCAAATTTGCATTCCACTCAACATTAAGCCAGCATTTTTGTGTTCAGGCAACAACAATAGAGAGCTTGTATGGCTGAACGGTTCTTTTGCCAAAAGCTTATAGCACTACTTTGCTAGTTGGGTAGCATGTCTCTAGGTATACATCGCTATACATTGAGAGTGATAAGGAATGATGTTGGTCTCGATGCTGCCCTATCGGCATACCACGCGTTTGTTCAGTCTAGAATTATGAATAGACATGGTCTGATCTTCTGGGGCAGCTCGCGGTATATAAACAGGGTATTGATTCTTCAAAAAAATGTATAAGGACCCTATTTATATTTCTTTAAACAGAAATCTGACGATGCTACAAATAAACATAATCACATGACTAGGCATGAAGAAGAGCTTATCCCAGATAAGTGTAACTTGATTTTTATACAGAAAAATGCTGTTAAGAAAATGTTCAATAGTTTTCATTTAAATGTACGTAATTTACCCAAATAAAAAGTTATTTTATGTCTAAGGCACTTCACTCATTAAATGATTTTTTTGGAGGATAAGGATAGACTTACTCTAGAGTTAATTTAGAATAGTTTTAACTATATACATATACATAGTTTTATTGATAACGTTGACTATATGGAAAATTTTTGTAGCTAAATATAATTATTGTACTTTTTTATGAGTGCAAAGGCACATGAATCCCGAATATTTGTAACTGTGTATTTCTTTTATAATTAATTTTAGCTCGCTAGTATACTTCTCTTTAACAATGTTATATGCCTCGACTAATGAATAAATATCTATCTATCATACCAATGCCACACTTCATGTGATAGATGATAACATCCATTATATCTCAGGTTTTATTAGAACTCCTAGAGCAATTATATTTTCTTCTATAGAGTATAGTGTCGTAGTCTAGAAAAACTGTTTTCTTATACATGGAAAAGTGAATAAGTAACATCGTATCAGGCAAAGACGGTAAAGTATATCGTGGAATATCCTCACCTTCACTTGAATTGTGAAGTATACCCGTAGGAAATCTTTT